CCGCAGCAACCCTTCTCGTCCCTTCGCCCCTTCTGGTCGCCCCGCCCCGCCCCCTCCGCTGGTTGCCCCGCCCCGCCGCAGTCGGCAGTCAGAAAGGCGCGGGGCCTCTCCTTTAACGCGGCCCGGGGCTCAGGCCCGCATGGCGAGCGGGCAGCGGGCCTGGGCCGGGCTGGGCCGGGGCTGAGGAGCCGAGCGGGCGCTCTGGCCGGCCGGGCCCATCATGCGGCGGCTGCGGCGCCTGGCGCCCCTGGTGCTGCTGTGCGCCTTCGCCAAGGGCCCGCAGGTAGGCGCGCGGGCGGGGCCCGGGGCTGTCTCGGCCGCCGCACCCTCGCCCCGGGTCGCGGGGGGGGGGGGGTTGCCGCCAGCCAGACTCCCGCCGTGACCTTGGGAGCCATCGTCTCCTCGCCTTCCTCGGCTTCGGGGTCCGCGCAGCCCGCCGGCGCCCGGGGAAGGGGCTGGGGCCTGGCCTGCCTCAGCCTCCCTCCGGGAAGAGCGCGGGCATCTGAGCTCAGGCCGCACAGACCCTGTGCCAGGCGCCGGCTCGGCCGGTGGGGGTCCAGTGGGCGCGGTGGAGCCCAGGCTTGAGGATGCCCCGCTAGGCCCTGGGAAGGCTGAGGATGCTGCGCTGAGCGAGATGGAGGGGGGCTGAGGACGCTCCGCTAGGCCAGGAGGAGGGGGCCGAGAATGCCCCCGGGCGGGGTGAGCCGCGTGTGCTCTGCACCAGCCCCAGCTCCTGCCCTTGCAGCGCTTTCTGCAGTGGGGGCAGGACGCCTGGCGCACGTCGGCTTCCTGGGGAGGGGTCACTGTGCTGTTTTGTCCCTGGGACGACGCTCCGTAACCCTAACGGGGATACTGCAGACTCAAGCTTGCCCTCTGCCCCCACGCAGCTGCTGGGCACCCCTGAGGAGTGGTGGCACCTGCGGGGTTTCAGGGATGGCCCTGGGGAAGATGGAGTCCTCGGGTCTGGCCAGGCAGAACCACCTGTGCCGCGCGGCCCATCAGGGATGGGTGGGAAAGGGGTGGTCCCCTGGTCCAGCACCGGCCCAACCCCGCCCTCCTCCCCCTGGCCCCAGCCGGAAGTCCTCCGACCTTGTCCTGCCCTGGCAGCATCCTGGCCCCCACTGTCTCGGTTTTCCTGTTTTTCATTACGGACAGATCTGAAGGAAACAGGCTGCAGTGCAGAGCCAGTGGGCCGAGGGGCAGCGGGCCTGGCCTGGAGCGAGGACCTGCAGAGTCCTGCCTCTCTCTGTCCCTAGGCTGTGGCTCTGGGTCCCCCCCTCCCCAGCTCCTCCTGGGGTGGCCTTCCAGTGCCCCCGAGTCAGGGAAGCTGGGTAGCACCCCCCCCCGCTGGGCCTGGTCCCGGTCCCCCAGGATGCAGTGGCCCCATTTCATGGAGGAGCTGGTAACCAGGGCAGACTGGGTGTGACCAGCAGGGAGGTCGTTGGAGGGGAGGCTGGCCTGTCCCTTGTCAGCTGCCCGGAGGCTGGAGGCCACAGGAGGTGCTCTATACCAGCAGGGGGGCTCTTGTGGGGGTAGCTGACCTTCAACCCGCCCAGGCCCTGGGCCATTCCGTGTCCCTGTGTCCTGGGTCAGGGTGCCTGAGCCCCTCCCACAGGCTGCAATACAAGAGGGTGTGGGGTAGAGGAGCAAGCTGGCACCCAGCTGTCCCTGGCTGTCACCCTCGGAGAGCTTGCTTGGATTCAGGGGTCCTGGAATCCTCACACCCCCTGCTCCCACCTGCCAGCTGGGAAAACTGAGGCAGAGGGCCTGCTGATGACAGGCCAAGCCCAGGCATCTCATGCAGGTGACAGGCTCCTTTCCCTGGCATGTGCTGAAGTGCTTCCCTGCGAAGGCTAGTGGCACTGATGGTGTGGGTGGACCCGTCAAGGGTCTGTCACTTGCCCACAGACGCATGAGTGTGCTACCGTAGCAATGATGTTCAAGGCTGCAGACCCCTCCCAGGGTGTGATGGGGGAGCCCTGGCATCCCACCTCGTGGAAGGGCGAGGCCCAGGCCCCAGCCTGGCAGCTCACCTGGCCTCTCCTGGGGTAAATGTTGGGAAATGGGGTGAGCAAGAGTTTGGGAAAGAAAAGCTATCTCAGTCCCCCCCTTTGATGTGTTTTAGCTGCCCGTGGTGGGAGCCCTGGGTGCAGACTCTCATGCCCACATGGAGGGCAAGCCCCGGGGGGTTCTTGGGGCTACGGAGTGGTGCCTGCTGGCTGGGCAGAAAGCTGGGAAAGGGCCACGGGGGTCACAGCACCCCAAGTGGGGACCCTGCAGGCCAGGCAGGTGCCCTCACAGGCTGCTCCCTCCCCGCAGGGCCGGCTCCCAGGCCTCAGGGTCAGGTTCGTGGTGCTGGTCTGGCTGAGCGTCTTCGCGGGCAGCTGGCTGGTGTATGTGCACTACTCGTCCTACTCTGAGCTCTGCCGTGGCCATGTCTGCCAGGTGGTCATTGTAAGTGGGGGGCCTCGGGCTGGAGGTGGACTGGGGTGCAGCAGAAGAGGGGCTCCACAGGTGCCAGGGAGGGTGTCTCACCCAGCCTGAGGAAGTCCCTGCCCTGCAGGGGCCCCCACCACCCTCCTGGGGCCAAGCCGGGGGTGCCACGGTCCTGGGAGGATGCGTGTTAGGGTGCGTGTGTGTGTGTGCCTGGGAGTGCGAGCTCACAGGCGTTTGGGTGCGTGTGAGCAAGTAGTCACTCCCTGCTTCTTGGGGTCCCCTGTGGCAAGGGGAACTGTTCCGGAAGTGAAGCCTGTCTTGGGGCCCTGGGCCATGGCTTCCCTCCCAGAGGAGGCCCTGCCACCACCTGCTGCCGTGTGGGCCAGGCCAGTGGCACTCAGGCTGGGTACTACATGCCCTGGCCGGTTCTGCAGAGGGCGAAACAGACTGGGGATACGGGACTTGCCGAGGGACCTGACGGGCAGCAGGCGTCCTGGAGGGCTGAGCACACCACTGCTGCACAGGCTGTGCCTGCCCCTCCCGGCCCTGGAGAAGGGAGGTGGCAGCCCCAGACAAGGGTGGGGTCCCCTGGGGGCCCAGGCCTGGTGCGCTGCCTCCCCCCAGCTGCTGTGTGACTGACCAGCAGTGCTGCCTCTCCGGTGCCCGCCTGGGCCGGGCCCACAGCCCTGTCACTGTGCCAGTCTGGGGTCAGAGCAGACCCCTTATGGAGGTGGCAGACCGCACATGTGCTTTGCCTGTTCCCTGTCAATCGGGACGAGGACTGTCATTCAGGCTGCCCTGCCACAGGACAGATGCTGCCCTCAGGGCTCAGGGGGCTGGGCACACCACCTCTGGTTGGCCCTGCTGCTGCCTGCCCTGGGATGGTGGCATTCGTTACCTCCCCTCCCCGCCTTCCTCCACTTCAACCGCCCGGCTCCATGGTAACTGAAATGTATGTCCAGGAGTGCACGCCAACCCAGATGGCTCTGAGGCCCTGTCCAAGGCAGGCTGGGCTGATCTGATTACTGCTGAACATGGTTCCCTGGGCCTCTGGCTAATAAGGTGGCCTGGGGCAGGCATGGCAGGAGGGACAGGCGGGGGAGTGGTCACCCGGCCCCATGTGATGTTTTCTGAGCTGACAGTGACCAGCAGCTCAGCTGTGAAGGGCATGGGGGGTGGCAGTGAGGCCTGGCTCATCCTATGCATGGGACGGAAGATCAGGGCCAGGTCCTCCTTGTGGGCTGGGCCAAGACAGATGCCCAGGCCCGGGAGTGGGCACTGCTCAGGATGGAGCAGTTTTGAGGGGCCCCAAAACCGGGAATCCAGGGGCCAGCCAGGATGCTCCTAGGGACTTTGTGGAGGAAAGAGGAAGTGGTTTACACCAGCAGAGTCCATGTGGCTTGTCCGACCTGTCCAGCTGCCTGCCTGAGCACTGCTAGCCCTGGGGCCTGGCCTGGGGTTGCCCAGGTATTTCTGACCCTGGCCTTTGGCCTCTGAGCAGAGGCCTCAGTTCTCGAGTTCTGCTGGGGACCTGCTGTCAGTGGCCATGACAGCAGCCTCCATGCATGCCAGGACATGGGTGCTGCCAGGGGCAGGGTGCCAGCCATCACGAGGCAGTGGGAACTAGCATGGTTGAGGCCTCAGAACCAGGTCCTGCGCAGCTGACAGGCACAACAGGAACTTCAGCCCTGGATGCCCAACCTGGTGGCCTCATTGCTCTGTGGCACACCCTCCTCCCAGGGGCCCTGCTGGGCCTTGGACCCTGGGGATCTGTGAGGGTGGGGTCGCAGCCACTAGCCTGTGCCCTCGCCACACCCTGGCCCCCATGTCCCCAGTGTGACCAGTACCGCAAGGGCATCATCTCAGGCTCCATCTGCCGCGACCTGTGTGAGCTGCACACGGTGGAGTGGCGGACCTGCCTGTCCCCAGCCCCGGGCCAGCAGGTACGTGCGCAGGGTTGGGTGGGCCTGGGCCACTGCACCCACTGTGGGAGGGGGCGCCTGCAGAGAGGATACCAGTGGCCTCATCCAGGTGTACAGCGGGCTGTGGCAGGACAAGGAGGTGACCATCAAGTGCGGCATCGAGGAAGCCCTGAATGCCCAGGCCCGGCCAGAGGTGGCTCCGCGGCGGGAGCTGGTGCTGTTTGACAAGCCTACTCGGGGCACATCCATCAAGGAGTTCCGGGAGATGACCCTCAGCTTCCTCAAGGTCAGGTTGTGTCCCCGGCCTGAGCGGGCCTCCCTCCACTGTGCGGCAGGACGTGGTGGGGAAAAGGACTCACTGTCCAGGTGTCCAGGCAGCAGCGGGGCCTCTCTGGGGCCCCCATATACTCAGAGGTGAGACAGAATGCCAGATGTGTGCTGGGTGGGGACTGAATGGCAGAGGTCCTGGGCCAGGGAAGGCTGTGGGCGCCTGCCGGGTGCTGCTGGCCCAGGGGACCCTGCAGGTCTGTGCTCTGCCGGTGGAGTGGAGGTCCCAGGTCCCAAATGACTTGGCCTCCCTCCCCTCCGGTCCCACCAGGCGAACCTGGGAGACCTGCCCTCTCTGCCTGCACTGGTTGGCCAGGTCCTGCTCATGGCCGACTTCAACAAGGACAGCCGTGTGTCCCTGGCTGAAGCCAAGTCCGTGTGGGCCCTGCTGCAGCGCAACGAGTTCCTGCTGCTGCTGTCCCTGCAGGAGAAGGAGCACGCCTCTCGGCTGCTGGGCTGCTGTGGGGACCTCTACCTCACAGAGGGTGTCCCTCATGGCTCCTGGCCTGGGGCCACGCTGCCCCCGCTGCTGCGCCCACTGCTGCCACCCGCGCTGCACAGGGCTCTGCAGCAGTGGTTCGGGCCTGCGTGGCCCTGGCGTGCTAAGATCGCCATTGGCCTGCTGGAATTCGTGGAGGAGCTCTTCCACGGTGCCTATGGGACCTTCTACATGTGTGAGACCACGCTGGCCAACGTGGGCTACACGGCCACCTACGACTTCAAGATGGCCGACCTGCAGCAGGTGGCGCCCGAGGCCACCGTGCGCCGCTTCCTGCAGGGCCGTCACTGCGAGCAGAGTGCTGACTGCACCTACGGGCGTGACTGCAGGGCCCCCTGCGACCGGCTCATGCGACAGTGCAAGGGCGACCTCATCCAGCCCAACCTGGCCAAGGTGTGCGAGCTGCTGCGGGACTACCTGCTGCCCGGGGCGCCCTCCGGCCTGCGCCAGGAGCTGGCCAAGCAGCTGCGCACCTGCACCACGCTCAGCGGGCTGGCCAGCCAGGTGGAGGCCCACCACTCGCTGGTGCTCAGCCACCTCAAGACGCTGCTCTGGAGGGAGATCTCCAACACCAAGTACTCCTAGGGGCGCTGCACCTGAGGGCCCCACTGCTCTCTGGGCTCCTTCACCCTAGACTGACCACTGAGCTCCTCCTCCATGGGAAAGGCCAGAGCCAGAGGGCAGGAGGGAGGGACACTGCCAGTCCTAAGAACACGATATAAATAAATGGCTTTGGTGTGATGCCTGGGCAGTGGGTGTGAGCCGTCATGCGTGCTGCACGGGTCCCGTGGCCCCTCACCAAACACAGCTAATTGTCAGCTTGGTGCCTGGGTCCAAGGCTCTTCTAAGAGAGCAAGCCAGAGCTCACCTCAAACTTCCGGCCATACCTGAGCAACCGGTGGATGGCCCAGGGCCATCACGCTGACACATCCCTGTCCCTTTTTCATTTCTGACATGGTCTCACCAAGTCACTAAGTGGCCCAGGCTTGGCTCCAACTTTCCACGCTCCTGCCTCAGCCTCCCAGTGCTAGATTCAAGGTGTCTGGCTCCCTTCTTTGTGCTGGCAGAGATTTGACCTGGGGCCTCTCGTGTACTAGATGAGTGCTCTGCCACGGAGTTATATCCAGGCTCCTGTCACCTTTGGTTCTGAAGCAGCTGTGAGCGGGCTTGAGGTACAAGTCTGATACAGAGAAGCGTGCTAATACTGAGGCAGTGAAAGGTTTATGCAAGAACTGGGCACAGTGGCACACACCTGTCATCCCAGCACCAACGAGGCTGAGGCAGGACTGCCTGGACTACACAAGTGAGTTCAAAGGTAGCATGAACATAGCCAGACCCTGTCTAAAAGAAAAGCCAAACTGATTCTAGGTAACGGTTATCTGTAACTTCACTTTTCTGGGAAGTGGCCAAGTGACTGATGGAGCACCCACCCCCACCCCCACGGCTGGGTGTCCACACCTCTCGCCCAAGAGGACCCAGGCAGGAAGGGCCCTGCACCCCACGCGGGTCTCTTGTCTTTGCCAGCAGTGACCCTTCCAAGAAAGCACACCGAGTAAAGCTTTCAGTTCATTTTATTGTAATTTCTTTTTTTTCTGGTACCGGGGACGGAACTCAGGACCTTCTGCTTGTGAGGCAGGCGCGGTGCCACTGAGCTGAATCCCTGGCCCTTTAGTTCATTTTAATGTCTTTTGCTTAAGTTAGAACCCTTCCCAGGTTCCAACCACAACTTCCCCATGTTCTTTCTCATGACTGCACCTCACCCTCTACTTACAACTCATTCTTCCCTATTGTTTTTCCCATCTTAGGCAAGACAGTAACCAAAATCAGGATGATCCCAGTCAGTTAGCATAGGAACTGGGTGCAGCAGCCCAGAACAAGGCGGGCAGGCAGCACCCCGGGGCACTCTACCTAGAGACACGCTGAATGGCCACTCCCACTGGGTCCACTCCCGGAGCCACACCTGTGCCTGCCTTACAGGCCCTGAGGCGGGGGGCCAGACCTCTTCCTTCAGGGACTCCATCTGGAAGAGGAAGAGGGGTGGGATCAGCCCGGGGCTCACTGCTGCTTCCACCTGGATTCCAGGGAGTCCGCTCTGAGCACACAAACTGCACAGCGGGCTTCCTCAAGAGGATCCAGCAAGGTCTGGCAGCGCTGACTTTGGGGACCACATAACCTCCTGAGTGTGGCAGGTCACATAGCAGCAGGGCCCCCCCCCCCGCCAGCCTCCAGCCAGCCAGGGAGGGGTAGTGACCCGTGGGGGCCCAGGATAGACTGCACAGCTGTTAGGAACCCGTGGGGCCCCTGGCCTCACCAACAGCACAAAACCAGCAGTGCCTCTGCTGTGTCAACCTCTCAAGGGTCTCAGTGTGGGTCCATTCCTGGGCAACCTCCCCTGCAGGAGCAAGGGCACCGGGCAGAACATGGTGGTTCTCGGGCCTCCCAGAAGGCCACTTCCAGGAAGGAGGGCTGGGAAGAGACCCTAGTCTGGCTCATCCACTGTCCTGAAAGCTGCCACACAGTGGGGCCCATGAGCACCCCTTAAAGCCCAGTGCACCTGCCGTCATTCAGAAATGTCAGGCTATAAACCATTCTTAGTGCTCACTGGTCTCCGAACACTGAGCGTAGAAATAGCCAGATGCTCTTTGCCCCGAAGTCACAGGAACAGAGTGGCTGTGCCTGTGGTGCTGGCAGGTCCAGGACCGCATCTGCAGGGCAGCCGTGCCCCAGAGCCAGCGGCGCACTGCAGGTCCACCTGCGTCTCTCCTTACCTTGATGGGTGCAGCTCACAGCTGGTTCCCCTGGCCAAGGATCACACCGAGCAAGTTCAGTCACTGTCCTTCCTGCATTAAATACCAACATATGAGCGCAGAGTGCCCCTTCCTTGCAGGTCTCTATCCTGAGACCTGCAGCAGAACCCTGAGACCAGACAGAAGCAGGCTGCACACACACCGTGTCTTTTCCTGTGTACACGCACTAGGGTCAGGTGTCACCTTTCACTACGGGGGACAGGACGGCTCCTCTGAGATGCCAGCATCACTACTCTTACATTTTGGAGCCACCAAGTAAAGTGAGGGGTGTTTGTCCACAGCCCCGTGGCACTGGCTAAACAAAGGGAGGCCTCGGGCCCAGGGGAGGAGGCACAAGAGGCTGTATCTTGCTACTCAGAACTTCCCTCCTAAGACCTCTGAACTGCAGCAATCTCAGGTAAGAGATGGGGAAGTGAAACTGCAGACAAGGGCGCAGCTGCTCCAGGAATGCATCCAGTAACCGAGCCAGATGCCAGCAGGCCCCTCCTCAGCCCTCTGCACCCAGAGGGTGCTGAGAAACCCGCCCTTTACAAGGTGAACAGTGCGAACTAAGCAATGCATTTCATTCTTCCTGTCCACACCTTTAAATGGCCCCAGCGGGCAGGCCAGAGAATCACACAGCACTGCGCTTGTGACCAGGGAGGCCACCAGAGATGTCTCCAGGCACACCCAGGGCTACCAGTGAGACTGTCTTCAAAACGAGGGAGAAAGGGTGACACATGGGGAGAAAAGGCATTGGGCTTTTCCATACCACCAGAGGGTGACCCCAAGGCCTCACAATGACCTACGCCCCCAGTGCATTTTAAAGTTTGAGACAAGGTCTAAGTTACCCAGGATAGGCTTGAACCTGCAATCCTCTACCTCAGCCACCCAGTGTTGGGACTACTGCGTGCGCCTGCATTGGGAGTAAGGCTCTGGGACTTTAAAAAGCTGCTTCTTCACACCCTGGCACCTTCACACACACCTAACCCTGTGGAAGCTGATGGAAGCTAGGTTTCAGTCACACATCTGTTTCCACAAGGAGTTTCTGGCTGTGCAATCCTGAAGTCTAACAAGGGGAGTCCCCGCATGAATCTTGACCACCCCAACAGCCCAGGCACTGCAGACTGGAGGTGCTGTTCTGCTGAGCCTCTGCCGGGGAAACTCTAGTTCCCTCATTATTTCCACTCAGTGAAACAAATGACTCACCTCCTAGGACCTTTTAAAGAGCACTGCTTTCTATGGTTTTCATCAAGGCAACCTAACAAACCCTGTCCCTGCAGGTGACCGTCTGTCTTCTGTCTATCCCCTGCTATGAAAGCGCAGGACTGTCATGTGACTGAGGGTCACCGAGAGAAGATGGCCTCACCACAGAGCTTCATGTGGCTGGCAAGCACACAGCACCCTGCAGGGCACTGTCAGTGTCAGGCTACTAATCATTCAAGCGTTCACAGGTCAGGACGCTGAGCGTAGACATAGCCTCAATTCTCTCTGCCACCTAATGACGCAGGTGTGACACGGCAGCCACGCCTGCAACGCCTCGAGGGGCAGGATCTGCAGGCTGAAGACCCAGGAGTCCAGACCCCCACTTAGGTTGTCACAGTTTGTGTGCGGGGGGGGGGGGGGGGACCTGCTCCAGCACCAACCTGTCAACTTACGGAAGACTCAGCATGTCCTCACAGGGACCCAGTTTCCAGCAGGCAAACTCCCTAGGGAAAAAACATCCTTTATTCAGATCTCCACAAGACCATACCCACCACAGCCAGCTGCTGGGAACAGACTACTTTGCTGCACATGGTCTCCCAGTAGCAAGAACTGCTTCTGGCTACAAGGGGCCTTCTAAAAAGATCCAGCCCACGTTGCTCCCTCCCCTTTCTCCCCGAGTGTAAATCTGTGTCCCAGTTTACTACCACAGAATCCTGGCTGGCATAACCCGCTGCCTGTAACCAGGACCCTATGGGAGAGTAAAACATCCCACCCCAAATACCCCAAATATTTGGAGAAAGTAGCTCTGAGAAGCCATCCTTTGTGAAGAGAAATCCAGTCCACATCGCCCACGTTACTGAAATAAGCACCGAATGCACACACAGCTTTGCTTTTCCTAACCCCCGCTTCTGCCTTAGAGGCTGGGGGTGACACCTGACAGCGATGACCAAGGGTGGCTCCACCTGTACCCCGAGACAAACCTCGCTCGCCATGCCCCACGGTCGGGGCCGGCTCCATTCTGCCCAGAAGCCCAAACCCACCCCCTTTTTCGGCTTTTTGAGACAGACTCATGCAGTGTAACCCAGGCCGGCCTGAACTCGGGGGATCCTCCCGCCTCAGCCTTCCGGTGCTGGCGGTGCTGGCACTGCAGGCGTGCGCCTCCACGCCCGGCTCCCAAAACAATTTGCATGACTTTTATCAGCTTATCACATAAATAGATTTATCGACGCTTTCCAGGGGCAAGGGTCAGTTACTCCTAGCCCTCCAGGCTCACCACGCCCAGGCTCACCTCCTCAGGAGCGCGGGGCCTGTCTCCGCCGCGGGGCACGAAGACCACTCACCGCCAAAGCGCCGCCAGCCCTCCATGGCCGCCGAGAGGACGCGCAGGACCTCGCCGCACCCTTTATAGCATTTCGGACGGCGGCCCGAGAGGGACATGCCCCGTCGCGCTAGCGCCCTCTATCGGCCAGCCGCGCGTCGCCAGCACACAGCCCATGTGCGCGGCCGAAAGGGTCCCAGTTTTGCTTCCCGGCAGCCGCAATCTCAGGAAAGCGGGTGGGGCGGAGCCTGCGTCCTGCTTCCCACGGACGGCCGGAGCCCCGCCAGCCCTTCAGGCCTTCCTGCCTTGCTTCCTTCGCGGCCTCCCCAGAGCCATCTGTGGCCAACCCGTGTGCCAGCGGCGGGGACAATGATGCTTGCCTTCTCTTTTACGCCTGTCCCCAAGTGCGTGGGCCTGGACGTTTCTAAACCACTTGGGCATCTTTCTGTCCATGGACTAGGACCCGTCGGTAGCCTCTGCCCTGGCAGAATGGGAGCCACACGGTTCACCCACTCCTGCGTGGCCTCTAGCACACCTCAGGTGCCCAGTGCGTGCTGAGGTGCCTGGGCAGGTGGGGGTGACCCATGGGTGACCCTTGTGCTCAGAGCTTTTTGTCTGTTCCAAGACCTTAGTCTCCACAGTACCTGGGAGCGTGGTGGGCAGAGGAATCGAGGTCTCAGAATGAAGAAATAAGCCCTGGTCACACAGTTTGCACTGGAAAAGGCAAGGTCGAGGCAGGGACATTGGCTCTGGACCAGGAGATAGCAAGTCTGGGCCACAGAAGCCAGGCAAAGTCTGCAGTGCCCTGTCCCAAGCCCACCCTGGGCCACTCACCATCCACAGCGTGACAGATGTGGGGAACAGAATGCAGCAGCGAGGCAAGGCTTCTCCTTCCTCAGCCCATTCCCTGGGCCCACAGGCAGAGGCCAGGGATGCCCTGGTACTGGGGCTGCGCTGTTGCTGGCTCTGGCTCAGCACTGCTTTCAGAGCGGACATGAACGAGGGCAGGGCCACAGCCACAGAGGTGAAAAGCTGCAAGAGCACCTGGCTTTCCTGCCTTTCCACAGGCAGGAAACACCCCTTCGCCTCACCCGTGGCTCCTGGCTGGCTTCAGGCCCAGATCTAGCTCCAGCTCTAGAATCAGCACCTGCTGCACAACCAGTTTCAGAGTTACACCAGTGCCAGGCCCACAGCTGGAACCAGCAGCATGATCCAAGGACACACTGCTAGGTACTGGCATCAGCACCTGAGCTCGATTCTGTGCCAGAACCTGCTCCTCCTGCACCAGGCCTGACCTCTGGGCAGCTCTGGCGCTGTCTCTAGGGCCAGAGCGGGATCAGTCCAGGACAGCTGTGGCACAGACTCCAGGTGCAGAGGTGGCGTTGTTACCAACTGCTGTGCTGGCTCCAGAGTTAGAGACAACACCCACTCTAGAGACCACACCAACCGCAGCAAGGCCTCTAGCACGTGCCACAAGCCCACTTGTGACTCGCTCCTCCAGAAGCCTCAGCGTCAGCTTGAGCACTGACTCCACATCCAGAACCTGTTTCACTACTGTTTCCAGAGCTAGAGCCAGCACAGGATCCAGAGCCACCGAGAGCCACGGAACTAGCCCAGCACCACCCTCGGACTGGAAGCGGCCCGGGAAACCCCTCTGGAGCTGGCGCCACAAGCATAGTGAGATTGGCCCCAGTGCCAGCCTCACCCAGAATGAGTGAGGAAATGGCCACCTCTGTTTCCTAAAGAGCTCCAGAAGAGTCACTGCTATGCCCGCTTTACCTACCTGGGCAAGTTCACCAATATGGCCTAACCAGTGTAGGCTTTTCTTGCTGAGAGCTACAGAATTCTGGATTTGAAGCAGTCTTTTTCCTTGTTATAAACTTCATTGTTCAGGGTTGTCCAGAGACACAGGACCAATAAACCATACACAGAAAGACAGCTTTAGTGGGTAGATGACAAATAGATGGACAGAGACAGACAAGTGACAGGTAGTTGATAGGTGAAAGGTAGGTTGGGCCAGGGATTTAGCTCAGTGGTTCCACTGCCTGCCTGGGAAGCGCAAGGACCAGAGTTCGATCCCCGGTACCAAAAAAAAAAAAAAAAAGAAATGGGGGATTGAGAGATTTATTTTGAAGAACTGACCCTTACTGTCAGGAGGCTGGGAAGCCCCAGTACCTGCAAGGTCAACAGCAGACTAAAGGCCCAGGGCTGAAGGATGTGGCTGCTGGGGCTCATGGCAGCTAAAGGCAGAATCCCCTCTCCTCAGGGGATTTAGTCGTCTTTACTCCCTGACTGGCCCTCACTGGGTAGACACCTGTGGGCACCTTTCAGGGTGGTGGTAGATGGCTTTGTCCTGGGAGGGTCTGGGGTATGTGGGGCTTCAGCAGGGCTCCATACACACAAACACAGGTGTGCAGTCCTCACGGGCTCCATGTCATTGTTCACAGTCCACCCCTGCCTGGGGGAAAACCATACCAGTCCTTGGAGTCCTTTTAAAACCGTCATGCTGCCAGGTGTGTGACATACGCCTGTGGTCCCCGTTATGCAGGAGGCTGGGAGGGGTCACAAGTTCCAGGCCAGCCTGGGCAACCTACTGAGACCTTGTCTCATAAAAACAAAGGAACAAGGGCCGGGAATTTAGCTCAGTGGTTGGGGCGCCTGCCTCGAAAGAGCAAGGCCCCGAATTTGATCCCCAGTACCAAAAAAATGCCAAACAAACAAAGGAACAAACAAAATACACATGTATAATACTGTAATTTTAAAAAGGGGCAGGGATTTAGCTCAGGGGCACTGTGCCTGCCTTGCAAGCACAAGGTCCTGAGTTCAATCCCAGGTACCTGAAGAAAAGGGGGGAGGGGGTGGAGATGTAGCTCAGTGCCAAGGCCTAGGTTCAATTCCCAGTGCTACCAAACAACCAAACACACCCACAGAAAACCCCAAATAACAACAACACCAAAAAAATCTCATGGCTTTAAGCATCTTAAATAGACTAAAAACCCTCCTGAGCATTTACTCCTGATCTTCAAATTCTGCATTGTGTTTTTTGTTCTGTTGTTGTTTTTGACAAGGTCTCGCTATATAGTTCAGGCTGATCTTGAACTCACTCTGTAGCCTAGGTTGGCCTCCCGCCTCACCCTCTCGAGTACTGGAATTACAGGTGTGCACCACCATGCCTGGCTGCACTGTGCATGTCCATGAGGTGTGACAGGATGCCGTGGCATGCTGTTATGTGTCCTTTGCCTTCGTGCCACTCCAGGAGGGGGCAGCTGTCCCGTCTCACAGATGAGGACATCGAGGCTCGAGTGGGAACAGCTTTCCAGGGAAGCACGTGCTGCCTGACCTCAGAGCCCATGTTTCCAACCATCGGGGACCCTGCCCTCGGCAGGGCAGAGCCCCCCAGTGGCCTGGATCCCCCATCTGCCTGGTCAAGCCGGGAGCTTCACTGCCTGCCTTCTAGGACCCACAGACTCTGGGTCAGCTTAGCAGCTGCTGGCTGCATGACTTGGTGAGGTTCAGACCCCACAACAGAACGTCCTCCCAGACTGGGGTCTACCCCTGTGAAGTCTCCTCGAGGTTCCCACCTCGTCCTTGCCTCTGGCCAAATGCTGGCCCCCAGTGCCTCCTCCTCTGAGGAAGCCCAGCAGTGATGCCTGTGCCCTTGGCCGAGGACAGACTGTGCAGAGCCCCTGATGAGGCCAAAGGGCTCCTGTTCCAAAGGGCCTAGGACCCAGATGCCAGCTTGACCCGACCTTGACCATCCTGCCCACATATGCTCATGCCATGCCCTCTCTGCTCTCCAGTCCTGGAGGCTTTCAGGAGTCCCAGCTCCTCCTGAGTGCTGCCAGCTAAGGACAGGGCTCAGAGGGCCAGGCCAAGGCAAGCTGGGAGCAGGCATCCTCGACACCCGGGGCAAGGCCTTTCTCTGGGCCCCTTTCCCACCCTCTCCTCAGGCCAAGATCCTGCTTTGGGTCAACGCTGGGATGAACTGGTGGCTGGCTCTCCTCCACTCCCTGGGCCTCCTTCTCTCTTGCCTGAGGTGAGGACAGGCTGTCAGGGCACTGTTCTGGAGTGCAGTGGGCAGAGCCTCCACAGCATGGAGCACAGCGGTCATAGCGCCCTGTCCTGACCCCCTGGCAGCCTCCTGTCCTGGGGAGGGCTCTTCCCTGATGTTCCTGCCCTGCGCCCCCCACACCCTGCCACCTCCTCCCATGCCATTCTGCGATGCATGTGCCTCGGGGACAACAGAATCCACGAGCCTGGGAGAGAAGCCACTGGGCCCACCCAAGGGTGCTTGTGGCCAGGATTCACAGGGGTAGACAGCAACCCTGGGCACCTGGGGCTCCTAGGTTAGGAAGGTGTAGAGGAGGAGAAGTTCAGGACTCTGAGGCCAGCTGGAGCTGCCACCCACCCTGCCTGGCCCTGGGCTGAGCCTCTTTCTGATGAGAGGATGCCTGGGGAGCCCCTGGGAGAACACCAGCTACCTGGGGAAACAGAGAGCTGCATTGCAGCTCAACCCAGGGAAAGGCCTTGCAGGGGGTGAGCATCCAAGCCTGTTCGGCCCAGGAAGGAGGGCTGGGGCCCACACTGGGCTCCGACCTCGGACCACATCCTGAGGGTGGCGAAGGAGAGGATCCAGCACTGTGTAACCAGGGCTTTCGTGCTGTCCCCGGACAGATGGCCCAGGATGGCTGTGACCTGGAAGTGTGGGGGCTGAAGTCCTCACTGCCAGGGCTTTCCTGCAGTTGCTAGCAGGGGTGGCATGCTGACCTTGGGGATAAAGGCCTCAGGGTCCTAGTCCCTCCCTGATTGCTGCCCTGTCCTTGTCCCGGAGAGTCCTCAGAGACGAGGCGGCTGCCTGGTGCCGAGAGAGGCCTCAGGTGTCTTCGGAGCTGCAGTTCCTACGCTCACTGGCTACAGAGGTAGTGGCTGGTCTCCCGGTCAATGGGCCACCGCTGGGCAAGTATGACGGGTGCCATGTCCCACTGAGACGCCTCTGCGACCCCCTCACTCCTGTGGGCATTCTGCCTGGCTGGGCACACCAGGACGAGCCTGCCTGTCGCCTGGACATAAGGGCCACGGGGCTAGAGGCTGGGCCACGGCTGACACCCCTGTCTCCTTCTAAAGTCCAGCCCCTGGCTTTGGTCCACGCTGGCCAGGAGCTGGAGTCCAAGAGATGTGGACACAGGCTACAGGGACTTTCCATCCACTGGCGCACAACCCGAGGGCCAACACGGCCACGGTGGAAACCGCGCCCCCCTGAGCCTGCCAGTGGGACAGGGGCAGACTGGCCTTGCACCCTTCTGGGTCCAGCTGCGTGTCGGGGGCGGGGTTACTGGAGGGCGTGGCCGAGAGGGCCTATGAGGTGTCGGGGGTGGGGCTACGAGAGAAGCGCCGCCTCATGGTCCCAGCCGCTGCGGGCTTGCGGGGCACGATTGGGAAGGTGAGGACGGCCCCGCAGGTCCCGGGCCTGGCGCGGGCTCCACAGGCCTCTGCTATTGTTAAAAGCTACTGGGGCCGGGGGTTTAGCTCAGTGGCACCGCGCCTGCCTCGCAAGCGCAAGGTCCTGAGTTCGATTCCCGGTACCAAATAAAAAGAAAAAGCTACTGGGGCGACTCCAGCACGGGGCCAGGGGAAGAGATTCCTGGTCTGTCCTTCCAGAACTGTCCGGGGCGACGCCCCCATTGCCACCCCAGCGCTGGGCCCCGTTCGCCCTGGCCAGCAGCACCCGCAGGAGACCGGGACGCGCTGGACCCTCGGGTCCTTTCCGCCCACTTCCCCGTCCGCTCCCCTCTCAGAAGTCCCCCTGGGGCGCCCCGGACCCCACAGACAGGAAGGAAGAGTCCGGGAGCGGCTGAAGCTGTTTATTCCGGAACGGGAGAGGGGCGCGGGGAGGCAGGCGGCGGGGCTGGCCGGTGTGTGTCGCGGGGGGGCTCCGGTGGGGCCGCCACGGCCGCTTCAGAGCCCGGCTCTCCGGCCTGGAAAGGAGGGGAGGTCAGCGAGGCCAGGAGGGAGGCCAGGGAGCTGCGGGGGTGACGCCGGGAGGCCAGGGCCGCCCCGGCCTGTCCCGGGGAGCGGGGCAGAGGGAAGAGGGGGCTCGGCCCGCAGAGCTCCACACTCGCGGGGAAGAGGGGAAGGTGACTTCCGCCAGTCACCTGGGGACAAGGGAAGGACCGGGCGCCTTGGCGTCTGCTCTGCCGCGCCTGCGCAGTGAGCGTGGGCAGGCTCGGAGCCTCCACTCTCCCAGCACCAGGCGGCTTGAGGGCCCCGGAGCTCCAAGGCCGCAGCCGTGGCTGCCGCGTGACTTTAAGGCAACTCGGGGTCAACAGAGTCACGGGGACCACTGAGGACCAGGGGTCTGAGGAGGAACTTTCCACCTGGCCACCGGAGGGCATAAGGATGCTGGGGACAAGGGCCAGGGACTGTCAGCAGCCCGGCCACCGGAGCGGCATCCCGGGAGGAAGCGGAAGCCATGCCGAGGGCCGCGGGCCAGGAGCAGGTCCGCCCTTCCGGCCAGGAGGGGCCTCTCCTGCCAGACAGGACCTGGAGGTGAGGTGGCCCACGAGGGACGTCGCAGCCACGCCGGAGGGACTCGGGAGTGTCCCTGAGACTCACCCTAGGCGCTTCCTGGAGAGCAGGCTTCTGCTGAAGAGAGAAAACCAGGGTTGGGGCCCCGGGAATTCCACAGGACCCCGGGAGCCTCTGTCAGCCAGCATCTCCCCGGCCCCAGCGAGGAGACCCGGAGCCAGCTGCGCCTGGCCCGTCCTCAGTGACCCCGGGTCGGGCAGCGCGGTGCCCTTCCTACCCCTCTGCTTGGGGATGGAGATGCTGTCTGTCTTGAGGCCTCTGGCCTCCACCACCTTCTCAAACTCCTCCAGGGCTTCCTGGTTGACTTCCGGGTCTCTGCCTGCGGGTGAGGCCAGGGCAAGACAGCACTGTGAGCCGCAGAGTGGGGCCTGCGGGCACCTCCGCCCCAGCCTGGAGGATGGCAGCTCTGGCTGGGGAGGGACCTGGTCAACCCCTGGGGGCTTGAGCTGGAGGCTGGGGCGGAGAGCCTGGGTAGGATGGGAACACGAGGCGCTGCAGGGCCTGCCAGGCACGGACCAGGACGAGCGCACCCTGGAGGGGACCCAGGCCCCCTGCTGCTCCACACTCACACACCTGCTGGGGAGGAGCTCAAGACCCAAGCCTTGCCTTTGGGTAGGAACCACACTGAGGCCGGTGTCTGCTTGGGTCACTTTCAGCGCAGGCTTCTCTTCCCAAACCTGTCCCACCCACTGCTGGAACCGAGCTCCTGGATGACACTGCAGTTTCTGCCCATTGGTCCTTGGCTCATGCTGTGACATCTGTGACATCTGTCACATCTGTCTCCCTGTGCCCATAGCAGCTCATCCTTCCCATGGCAGGGACCTAGACCTGGCAATCTCCCATCCTGAGCTGTGTGGTGGGGGTAGAGCCCCCAAGGACACTGCCCATGGTGGACACCACCGGACAATGCGACTCACCCATGAGAGTCACTGTCCGGATCACATGGCTGTCCCACTTGCTCTCACTGTAGAGGGTGTAGTGGTCCTGCACACCCGTCGTGATGATGTGTACCACTTGCTTGCCCTCGTCTAAGGAGGACAGTGGCAGTCCTGAATAAGCCACTGACCCTTCACAAGCCCCCAAGACAGCCCAGCCCCCAGCCTGGCCACCCCCTTGGCTGCCCTCCTGCCAGGCTGCCCAGTGCTCCTGACCCAGGTTCCCTACCAGGGCTATGAGGTTTGCAGAGGTTGGAGCTGCGGCAGCTTAGCCCTTGCCAGTGGAGTACAGCTGACCCCTACCGGGGGCTGGGCCACTACCAGCAGGAAATTGTTGGGCAGTCCAGGCCCCCCTGGGGACAGATTTCCCCCCCTCAGCTGCTGTGGCATTTATGGTCAGGTGTTTGGACTTTAAGACAAACTGGCCAGTGAGAGGGGAGGGTGGGCACATAATAGGGTCAGAGGAGAGAAAAGATCTGAGCCCAAAGGCCACCTGGGAGGTGCCAGCTGCCCCACTGCTCCTGTGCATGGTTGACACAGCTGTAGGAGGCCCTGGGACTCACAGGCTGTGTATTTGCCCGGCTCGTCTGTTTTCTCCAGGATGACACTGATCTCATGACACTGACCTCCGACCCTGGAAAACAGAAGTTGTATGGGCCACACAGGTGCCAGGTGCTACCCCCGCTCACAGCAGCCCTGTCTGTGCCCTCCAGGTGCCCTGGGTCCAGGATGAGCCCAAGGAGGAGCGGCCTCGCTGCCTCTCGAGTCCAGGCTCCAGCCAGGTCCTCCGTGTTCCCCGTGGCAGCCCCTGTGTCATGCGGTGTCCACACTTCCTGCTCGCTACCAGAAGGAACCTGGCTGTGTGGTCTGCAGATGTCATCTGTGGCCACCAGCCAGTGCCCTAACCTCCCCCTGCCCAGTTCTGTCAGCTGGCCTCTGTCTCTGGAGACATTCAGGGACCGGCCTCATGTCCACTGTCACCTGGACCACTGAGGGAAGCCTTCAGGTGGAGGATTTCGGGGACAAAGGAAGTGCAAACTCCAAGGTCATTGGCTGCCTCATGGCCGGTTCCCAGGACGGGAGCACAGACAGATGTCAGGCAGGTGGGAGCCTCAGAGATGTGAGACAAGACGTAAACACGTGAGCTGGGCAGATCTGAGCTGCACTGGAGGGAGCCAGAGAGAAGTGGGGGCAGCACACAGCTGTGAGATGCAGAGGCACGAGCCACGCAGATGGGAGCCACGCGGGTGGGAATAAACTGTGGGAGCCGCATGGGTGGAATTCACGCAGGCGGGAGATGCATGGGGATTTTAAGGCCTCTCTGCAGGGCCTGGCCATGCAAACCCTTCCCTGCTGGTCTGCACAGCAGGAATTTCCTAGGAGGGGTTCAGGCTGGAGTCTGAGGGACCCCTCTCACCCAGCTGTGACCCGGGGCTGGGAGCGAAACACCTGACCAGAAAGAGTCTGTGCGTCTGTGCGGCGGACAGCGGCCTCTCTCAGGGGACAGATGGGCACTGCCCGTGCGGCCCACGAGGTCTGCTCAGGGTTTCCTCTTCTCCCTGGGGTTCCCCCCAGAGGCACAGTGACCCCGAAAGCCCCAGGGGCTGAGAAGGGGCCCCCACCCTGGGCAGTGCGGCCGTGTGACCTTCTGACACTCACAGCACAGTGAACTTCAACTCCACGCTACCCCCCTCCAGGCTCTTGACCATGATGGGGGTCACAGACACAGACTCATTCTTCCCCAGAATCTTCTTGTCAGAAGCCACAGCCTTCAGATACCACGTCCCCGTCCCTGACACCTGGAGAAGGCGCCTCTGTCAGCCTCAGCTGACCCCCGGGGCCCCTGCTCCCCTCATCCGCAGCCCCCAGACCCCACCTAGCCCCCCAAGGGCAGGGGACCTGGAGCAGCCCCACCACTCCCACCAGGCCCTCGGGGTGCTGGCTCCCAGGCCCTCGCTCCCGCTCTGGGGGAAGTGAAGTTGGGCCCCACCTCCCACCAGCCGTCTGCACCCCATGCCCATCCGCCCACATGCCTTCTGGCCCGTCTGACGCTCCCTCGGGCAGGGTTCAGGCCGAACCCTAAGTGAGGGGCTCCTTGGATGGGGGCGGATGGGGTCCCACCAGGCAGTCTCGCCTCTCCCTGCCCCACAGCCCCTGCCCCTCGGAGCTCACTTCCTGGTTCTCCTCCTCCACCCCCGGGAGGTCCTGGGCCCGCAGGGCAGCGAGGAGGCCGAGGCCGAAGGTCAGGATCAAGGTCTTCATCTTCAGGGTCTGCACTCCTGGTATTTAAGAGCTCACTGAGGCCGGAGAAGCTCTGCTGGGTCCTCACTCGGCCGGCCGCCCTTTATACAGCTCCGAGGGGTCCCAGGAACTCGGCAAGCAGGACCAACAGGTCCCTTCCTGGCTGCACACTCACACACCTACACCGGGGCCAGCTCTGCAGTGGAGCAGGAAAGTATCACACTTGCTGGAGCTGCTGAATCCAGCCAGTTACTCCCCAGAGGATGACAGGCCAGGGCCAGCGTCCAGAGGGGCAGCTTGCAGAGCCCGGCAGGAAGGGGCGCATGGGGTGCAGCCCCAGAGTGTGGAGCCCCGAGGGCGTGTGTGGGGAAGCTGGCCCTGAGGCCCACTGCACAGGCCCTCGCTGGCTGACTGATGTGTGCACTGCCACAGAGGGCTTGGTGGGAGTCAGAGCCCTGGGCTCTGGTCTCCGTGACCTTCCTGCGTCCCTTAAGCACAGGTTCTCCTGGAGAAGACAGACCTGCTGTGTGGACAGGGGACGTAGGTTCACTGAGGCAGGGAGTGCCTGGGACACTTGCGCAGCAGCGGCAGCTCCGACAAAGGGAAAGCAAGATGGGGTGGGCTCACACAGACACCATGCATAGCTGAGCACACACGTGAGCACACGCGTGTACAAGAGATCGCAGTGGGCCAGGAGCACAGACTGGTGAAGGGGCTGCAGCCTACTCAGCCCAGGACCGGAGGCCATCAGAAGGCCAGGGACTCCTCTCCTGGGCACTGACGGGGGGGGGGTCCCTCTCCCCAGAGAGGAGGCTGAGCACCCCCTGCCACACCCCAGGGGCCCTGCTTGTCACAACTTAGTCAGGGCTGCAGGCCTGGGAAGAGGACATCAGAGACGACCCCCAGGGCAGGAGCTGGGATGGGCCATCCTGACGGTGGCTTCGCCTGTGAGCCCTCCGTGCTCATGTCGAAGTCGAGGCAAACACTGTTCTTGGCCATTTGGCTTGGATGTGATGGCCCATTTCTGTTCCTCTGGAGGGGACTGGAGAGCTCTCTCCCTGTACCTGTACCCCTGCCCAAACTAGGCCTGCAGGATTCCAGGATGAATGTCCTCCAGGAAAGGGTTTTCGTGCAGGGTTGTTTAAAATTTCACACCTGCTCTCTAAACAGTCCCATTGCTACCTGGCCCTGATGCTCGTGCTCCCCGACCTGCACAAGCTCCCTGGCCTCTGTGTACATGTGTGTGTGCCGGTGAGTGTGCACGTGTGCGTGGATGGCCCCAGGTGTGCCATGGCCCCCCGCACCTGTAAGTAGTGAAACCTTTATCTGTACCTCTCCTGATCACTGAGTGAGCTCTCTCCAGTGTAAGGGGAGGAACAGGGGAACGGATATGACCAAAATATATGCATTGAAACTGTTCTTTGTAAAGTTAATAGGCACTGATAAAATATTTTTCAAAAAAGGAACAGAGGCAGTGTGGGCAGGATGTTGCTCGGTGGTACAGCACTTGTGTGGCATGCGTGAGGCCCCAGGTTTGGTCCCCTACACTGTAAAAACAAAATGAAAACGACACGAGTAGAGTCAGTCTCCACCTGTATCCAGAAATAAGATGGTACCGAGAAGACCCGTCCGTGTGCAGCAGCTTCACAAACCAGAAAGAAACCCAGTCCTTGGAGAGGAGGCCAGCAGGCTCCTGTGGGGTTGCAACAGGGTCCGGAAGGAACATGTCTCGGTGCCAGCTGGAGAGAAGCCTGGCAGCCCCTCAGCCCCAGCACAGAGGAGACAGCTCCCAAACAGGTCACACAGCACACGGGCAAGGCCGGATGCACATCCCAGAGGAGGACGGCACACTACAGCTTTCCCGGAGCTGCAGTGGGCCCAGGTCCCTTGGGCCCCCAGGGAGGCCCAGTCCCTGCAGGGAGCTGCTGAGTGTATGGCGGCAGGGGCAGGCTCCAGCCACAGCCCCGCCTGAGGGTCCCCTGCCTCCGCCCCCTCTACTGCTTTGGGGCACTGGGTTTTCAGTGCCATCGAAGAACATGAAAGTGACACACGGAACCGGGGAAAGAGGAATACGTGGTGTACTGGGGCTCCCCATCTCGTGTAAATGCAGACACAGGGCCAGCAGTCCGGGACACTGTCTCCATGACACCCATTTCCTAATCCTGACACCAGTTCTGGGAACAGACGTGAGAACGAGCAGAACCAGGCACCCACTCCAGACTTAGAAAATCTGCAGTTTCATGTACTTGCTTCTGGTGGCACATTGGTGGCTTCCCAGTGTCCACTCCCTGCCATTCCCTTGCAGACCAGGGTCCTCGGGTACAATGACCTCCCTCCCAGCTCCAGGGAGTGTCCGGCTGCTCTACAGTGTCCATCCTCTGTCCGTGCCTGGTCGGAGTGGACAGGGCACCAGAAGAAACACTCAGAGAGCATCTGAGAGCCACAGCAAGAGTCCCACAGGGACAAACTCACCCTGGGGACCCTCGAGCAGAGCCCGGAAGCGCCCAGCTCCCGTTGACATCACGGAAGCCTGCCCAGCCTGGACCCCAGCCATGGAGCCAACGCCAGGCCAGGTGGACTCAGCGGGGGAGGCAAGCACTGTGCCCAGTGTGGGTGCCGGGGCAGCTGTGCTGTGGACAGTGGACAGGTGGGCTGACGTGGGTGTTGGGGAGGCAGGTGCTGGGCAGTGAGAAGTCAGGGCAGGTGTTGGGGGTCAGAACGGCCACCAGCCACCATCAGAGACACTGCCACGGCTGAGGTCCAGCCACAAGGAACCAGGCGCCTTGACAGCAGCAGGATGTGTCTTGAAAACTGACCTTTCCAACAGGAGACGAAACATACGCATCTCACAGTGCGTGGGCTCTCAGGCCCAAGCAATTGTGTCCTCCACAGCAGCCGTGGAAGCCAATGCTAATATCAGGGTCACGCTGGCTGCACCCGGCTGGGTGCTTCACGGGGAAGTGGGTGCCAGACAATGGGCGCTTCTCTGTTCATCCGTATCAGTGTCACGCTGGCTGCACCTGGCGTGGCCCCGCTGTGACAAAGCTGGGAGCTGGCTCACAGCCCCAGCCCTGCCTGCCAGCCAGGGTCCAGGCAAACCCCGACACTTCCGGGCCAGGCCACACCCAGGACCCTCAGGCCAGAGGATCCAGAGCTTCCTCAGTCACCCAGGCCCAACAGCACTCAGTGCCCGGCCCCCCTCAGCAGGCAACAAGAGTTCTGAGCTTCAAGGAAAGTTTTTCTTAAAAATTCATAACAAATCTTGGGCCAGGGATTTAGCTCAGTGGTTTTGCTGCCTGCTGCGCAAGCACAAGGACCCGAGTTCGATCCCCAGTACCAAAAAAACCCCACCAAAACCCCCCAAAAATCATAACAAATCCAATTTATTATAATGCATTGGTTATTATTATTATTATTATTTTTGGTACTGGGGATTGAATTCGGGACCTTGCGCTTGCGAGGCAGGCGGCAGAATCACTGAGCTGCATCCCCGGCTGCATTGGTTATTTTTGGAGTGCTTGAGATGGGACCAAAGGCCACTCTCATGCTAGGCAAGTGCTCACCACTGAGCTACACCTGGCCCCGAATAAAGTATTGTAATTCAATGGAACTCAGTGATGCCAGGAGACGGAGAATCACAGAGACAGAACTGGAAGCAGAGGCCCTTTACAGGGTGACACCAACTCATGAATACAGAGGGGAAGACAGAATCACAACCTCATGAAATGAAGTGTGATTAGACAAAGATTAGCCAGAGACATAATTCACTGTCTGCTGCTGAGGAACAGATCACGGAAAACGTCAGGGCTTAACGGCCCCAATAATACGTGCACAGGGCTTGAGGGCATCTGCTCCCCTGCTGCAAGCTTTGCCTGAGGTGACTGACCTGGGCTGGAGAAGCCACGATGGCCTCCTTCACAGCAAAACACTGCCCAGTGATAACCCACAGGACCGGCCACACGTCCGCCCGTGGGTGACTCCGTCACCCATAGTCCCCTTCCCTGCTGTCCCCAGGCTGAAAGAGCAGCAGGGACACCACCCTAAAATGGCAGAGACCAGGGGGCACCTGCCCTGTGGCAATATCCCAGCCTTCCCCAGCCCCAGAGAGCCAGGATGAACACAGCCAGCCCTCCTGGGCGTCCCCAGTTTCAGCCTCTTTGTTTCCAGTGATAGCTGCCTGCCTGTCCTGGACTCTGTGTCTTGAGGGGTCAGCCCTAACTTCAGTGCCCTGGAATTTCGACCAAGCAGTAGAATTGAACCTGGACCAATCAGTAATGTCAGATCAGCAAGCATGTAGTTCAAACCAATTTGGACCAATCAGCAGGCTCGAATAAGGACTAATCACAGGCTTGAATTTGGACCAATCACAAGGTTGAATTTGGACCAATCACAGTTCTGTGGCTGGTATATAAGCAATATTCCCCTGCTTCTGGTCTTAGTCTAGCAGGGCTTTATCCAGCAGGCCCGGTGCAGCTTCGAAAACCTTGATTAGCTAGAACCTGGCTCTGGTGGTCCTGAAAATGTATAGATTTAATTCTCTGGTAGCGTGGGTTTAGACAGTGCTGTAAGTCTTGAGTCAGAGCACCTGCTTAAAATCTTACATCTTAAAATCTTGTGGGCAGAACACCCACTTAAAAACAAAAAGAGATCTGTAAACAGCCCTGAAGAGCTCCAGAGACTGCTGCAGAGTGCCCTGCAGGTGCGTGACTTGTGTGTGAACCAAGCAAGAGAACAACTGGTTGAGGATGATACTGCGGGAGGGTGCTGCCTCCCTTCACTCCCCGTTGTGGGGTTCTGTTTAGGACCCATTGCTCCCTGGGGTTTCCCTGTTGATTTTCTTGCTCTCTACATTTCTTGACTGAATGTGTAACCTCAGGGTAGAAGGGACTTTGCAGATGGGACTCAGGTGAGGATCCTGAGGGGAGCGATTACCCTGGCCTGTGTGGGCAGCCCATGCAGTCACAGGGCTCAGCGTGGTGTCGTCACGGGGCTCAAGGTTGTGTTGGATAAGGGCAAAGCCTGGGCACAGTTGAGAGAAGCCTCGGCCCTCGCCGGACTGGAGGGGATGGGAGCCGGGAGCCAGCACCTCACAGCCTCCAGGGGCTGGAAAAGGCGGCGCGTTCTTCTCCACTGCCTCGAAGGAAACTGCCCTGCTGAACCCTGGCCATCAGCCGGAGAAACGCCACGAAGGGGAGGACCGAGCTGCGTGAACCTGTCTCTGTCCCGGCAGCAGCTGACCTGGGGCTCCCGGAGAGGAGCTGGGCAGGGGGAAGACACCTAGGCCCTGTGTGCCAGGTGGGGGTGTGTGTCCCTCCCCGGCCCCCAGGGGATGCACCTCCTCGGACTTCCTCCCCCAGCGCAGGGAGGTGAGGCTTGGGGTGACTCACCTTCTACCCCTCAGGAACGGGACCTTCGGCACACTTGTCCCCGCTTCTCCTAAACCCCGGCTTTCCCCCATCATCGCGTGCAGATGGCATTGCCTGTATTTGCCCAGTGGGGTTGTGGCATTTGGTCAATGGAAAGTGTGCCGTTGGGGGGACACAGCAGGCAGTGACTCCACAGTGACATCACGTGTTCAGAGCCCCATTAGAAGCAGGGCTTTGGGGGCCCCACTGGCACCTGTCCGCGTGTGCAGTGCCAAGGCCCATGAGGACCACAGGGCGATGGTCAGGCCTGGCCCTGTGCTCGGGTCGAGCCTGGCCCTGCTGTCGCCCCTAAACCTTGGCATCTGTCATCCCCACACATCGTCTCCCCAGCTTGGGCACATCCCCAGCCTACTCCGGCTCTCCTTACCCGACTCCGACATGGTGAGCACTTTCCACACCCGGGGCCCACCTGCCGCCCACCAGAGCCCACGGTCCTGCCATTTGCTCCCGAGGGAAAGCTCCTGGCCCCAGAGAGCACTGCACCCTGAGGCTGCGCCTCCTCGGGAGCTCCTGCCTGGTCCAGAGGCCCAGGTCAATGACCTCTGTCATCTTCATCTGGGGTGGCCTCTTCTCTCCAGGCTCCATGCTGCTCCCGACCAGCCCGGCTCCGCCACTCGGTGCCCCAGCTGGTGCAGATGGAAGACAGGGTCTTGCCCACCCCAGGCCCCCAGGTTGACCCTAGTCAGGCCGAGTGGGGCGAGGAGAGCACATCTGGTCAGGGCCTCACTGCAGCTGGAGAAGCTGATGAGCTCTTCTGAGCTGAAGGGGAAGGAAGTGAGACCGAGCCAAGGACACCAAGCGAGTGGGAAAGGGGGATCAGGCCACTCCTAGAACAAGGGGACCAGCTAGCTTTTACGGCTTTGCCAGGTTGGGCCAAAGTCCAGTATGTTTCCACGGGCCAGGGGCATGGTTCTAAGAGATTTCTTTTTCTTCATGTGAGACTTGGACCCCAGGCAGTCAGTCAGCCTGTCCCAGAGGCTGCTGACTTTTGGTGTAGCTGTGCTGCCATTCTGTACATGACATCCTGGCCTTGTGGTTTGGTCTGTGCCTAGGATGGGGCTGAAGGACCTTAGGTGCTCAGGCTGCTGCAGCTGCTGAAGGAGCACAGTGGGAGGGAGAAGAAAGAAAACACATGTCAGCTTGACCGGCAATTGGCGAGTCTTCAACAGACTGATCCCATGATGAAGGCAGCAAAATGAACAGACACATCATGAAGACACGGCACGAAGACACACACGCCAGTCACTCGTCAGACATTTGCAGGACCAAGGGAAGTCAGTGGTCAGCAAAGGGGGCCTTCAGGTGCCTGAGAAGTAACCTAGGCAACCGTTACCATAACCCCCATGTCAGAGGTGTCATCTTCTCAAAGCAAGTGGGAAATAAATTCGGTATTACTGAGCTGGGTAAGCTCCAAAATTAGTGATTCTTAAGTCTTCTAAGAACAAGGGAAGCTAAAGGTTTATGTACTTAGACTTGTCTTGGTAAAATCTCATCATTTTGGGTAAACATTGTGCTTCTGCTGTTTTATCAGGATTTCATGACCGGTCTGTTTGAAAGAGCCCAGGGTTAGAGAGGCAGTGTGCTATGCCACAAAAGGTACTAAAGGTTACCGCATGCAGGGGTTTGTTTTGTTGTCCCAGATTTTGTACCACCATGGTGGTCCCTAACTGTCTCAAAAAGAGAAATCTACTGCATAAACCCTACCTCACACCCTACTGAAAACCAACTCAAAGTGAATTAGTAACTTAAACAAAGCAGCAAAACTAGAAAACAAGGGGATTTTTTTGACCTTGGATTTGGTGATGGATTCTTAGATTTGACCCCAAGAGCGCAAGCCATAAAAGAAAAACAGAAAAATCGAGGCCTCATCAACTTCTGTGGATCAAAGGATACTACCAAGAAAATCATGCCTGGCTTGCAAGCGCAAGATCCTGAGTTCCATCCCTGGCACCAAAAAAGAAAAAAAATCCCCACAGAATGGAAAAAATATTTGCAGACTATATTTCTGATAAGAGTCTAATATCCAGAATGTGTAAATTCTTACAGCTCATTTTGTATATAGGGAGGGGAAGAGGGGTCCGGGGGTATGGCAAGAAAAGAAGCAAGATATATCACGTACAGGCACAAATTCGCTATGATGAATGTGACCGTTATGTGTATCTATAATGTACCAATAAGTGTTTTGCTTCAAAAAAGTTCTTACAGCTCAGCAAAAATAAGTAAAAAAACTGGACAAAAGACTTGAATAGACCCCTCTCCAGGGAAGATATACAAATGGCCAATGAGCAAGTGGAAAGTTTTGTTTTTTTTAGTTTTCACTTTTTATTAGTCCATGTGTGTGGTACGTGATGTTTACACTCCTTGGGTGGAGTTTGTACATGCACATGACACATCTTAATTCCTTTTTACATCTTCTGCTCCCCTTTCTCCCCCTCCTTCCACCTCTTGATCCACTTCCCACTTGAAAAAGGTCTATCTTGGCTGGGGATTTAGCTCAGTGGTTTCGCCGCCTGCTGTGCAAGCGCAAGGACTCGAGTTCGATCCCTGGTACCCAAAACAACAAAAAATAAAAAAGGTCTATCTCCCTACTTCCTATTACCTATCTTATTTTGCTTTTTATTTATATTTTGGGGTTTTTAAAAGTTCGATTCCTGGGGCAGGGATTTAGCTCAGTGGATCTACCACCTGCCTTGCAAGCGCAAGGTCCCAAGTTCGATCCCCAGTACCAAAAAAAAAAAAAGTTCAATTCCTGGGTTGATGCTTGTACATTGCTTACGGCAGGTATCTTTATTGCTAGTATTTATAACCCTTAGGAAATGACTACTTCTCAGAGGTGTCTTCCGG